TCGGTTAAAAAAACGTGGTTTTTGAAAAATTTTAACAAGGAGATAGAGTTAGGTAACTCTAAGCCTGTATTTATGGATGAGACGTGGGTATATAGCAAGGAAAGTAACAAAAAAAGTTGGCAAGATGGAACGATGGCTACTGCAAGTAAAAAACAGGAGATGAAATTTGATACATAATTGTCCCTGGTGGCAATGAAGAAGGGTTTATAAAAAATGCAGACCTCATATTTAAAAGTCAAAAAAAAAGTTGGAATGACCATAATAATATTAACACAGAAAAATTTGAAGAATGGTTTAAGAGGAAATTTATACCTAGTTATTATTCGCGGTACGTGTAACAAATTCCATGTTACAGTTAAACAAAAGATAAAATAGTTGCAGAAAAAGAACATTAACTATCCAATCATTGGTATGAAATACCAGATTTGGGAAGTTGTACGTTAAAATCTACCACGAAAAGAAGTTTACCTAGATATATATGTTTAGGGATATGGGCATAAAATATTAAGAACCTTTCCATATCAATGCGATAGAGATGGTGGGGTCACAGTGCAAACGGTTTTATGACGAAAAAATTTTAACAAAGTAAGATGTATTTCAGACTTGGTCAGAAGCTTTGAATATTGTTACCGATACTCAGTTAGACAATTATGTAAGAAACACTAAAAACATAATTGTTTCTTATTGGGAAAAATAACAGCAATTACATGTGTCTGATCTAGAACCAATTATTATTAATTTAGATACAACAGCAGTGATGAGTCTGAATCAGAGTCCAGTTGTGAAGAAAATGATATTCATTAAAAAAATTATATGAGTTATCAAATAAATATTTTCTGTGTCTCTTGTTATAATATATGTTTTTAACAAAAAAATTGTTTCGCGAAAATCATTCAATCGCGTTCATAGAATCTCTGATGTAACTGAAAATACATTAAGAAACAGCTCAGCCATCTTTTTGATGGTGCGTAGGTATTTGATACGGTATAGCATTACCTTTAAAACAAAATTTTGCTGAAGTAAAACTGGAAAAGCATACATTGAATCGATAAAAATAATAGCATGAACAACACAGGGAAGTATCATGGATCTCATTGTCTACTACACTTGTGATATACCACAACTTGAGCAAGACACGCGACTATGAAGACTAGAGATAAGAATGCAAATCGGTATACTCAAAATACGGTCCCAAAAAACGCACGCTAATTGAGCTTTTATAATTAACCGAATGAGCGCTGGTACTGCTTACGGTGTTCTAAATACATGGCTTCTCATGGGAATTATACATAATTTTGTCAAAATAATAAAAATAAACTTGTTTATAGCTAAATAAAGCACAGAACATACTGTTGTATTTATTTCTAAATAAATCTTGCATGTTTCAATTAATAAATTATTTAATTTTATCTATATAAAATACAAATTAGGTAAGTATGACCAAATTCGAAAAGGTTTGTTAAATGCTGAAATTTGAAAAGTACAATTTTGTGGCAATTTTTTTCTAAATTGAACCTATATATAGTTTTAAGAGCAAAATAAAACACAGTTAACAGATTTTTTATTGCTTTAATACAAGTATAAAGGGAGATTTGGGAATGTACATAGTATTACATCATCCTTTAATTTCAGCTTTCACCTTTTTATTTTGCTAACAGTACTATCAGTAAAAATAGTCTCATAATATTTGATAATATCTTCTAAAAAGTATAGAACAGCATCATCTCTAGAAAGTGCTTTATTGGCACTAGGAACGATATATATGCTGCCACTGTTCAAAGCATTTAGTATCCTATGAAAAACATTTACAATGACACAATTGGGGTTCAACAAAAAAATAAAAGTAGCAACTCTTTATCTAACATTAAAACTCTATAAAAAATAATTTTTTTTTCAAGTAAGTTAAATTTAATGTATAATTATTGTTGTTTGTATGACTAAAACTTTATATTATAGAAACTTGTAATAAAATAAATTACACTCCGTAAGATACATATTGTGACTAGTTCACAATAAATATTATATTTAGACAAAAATACATTATTTTACGTACATTAGAAACTTTAAAAAGACATTGAATTGATTTCTCCTTGTGTTTTCTTCAGTTTTACATTTGATTTGTATCCTGTTTTACAATCTGGAACGACGTAAATCTTACTTTGATGTTTTTTGTCATTCATGTTACTTGTACTCAGGTACTTTTTTTACATTATTTTGATTCTTTTCACCAATTTTTTAAAAAAATCACTTCATTTTACATTTACTTACAATGAAAATTGACACCGCTGTTATTCGACATGCCAACTACAGTCAATTTCGCGAACTTTATAAAAAGAAGGACGGAAATTGATGCTTCTAGAGGATTATTTAAAAATACTCTATCTTTGAGATAGTCCCATAACCAAAAGTCTGGAACAGTTAAATCTGGAGACCTTGGTGGATATACAATATTGGCGTTTTTTGAGATAAGGCGTCTAGGAAAAATTCTGATAATCGACGAATTATTTTGATAAAAGAATTTTACGATTTCGGCACGTTCTCGAGGCATATATCGATTCATAATGAATTTCCCAAGTATCTACTTTGTAACTGACAAAAACTCGAACAGATATCAACTACAAAGGAAACCATGACAACAATTCATAGGGTACTGGATTTTGCGCCACCTTGTATATGTATGATATTACCACAGCGACATAAAATTTTTGGTCCACAATGAAACAGCTGTAATAATACTACAGACACCCCAAAAATCCATTTAATAGTAGGAAAGGTCATAGAAATAAGAAAAAGGAAGCGCAGCATATAAGGAAGTGTAGAAAGAGAATAGAAGCTAAAACCAGACTTTTTGAATCACCAAGTGATGACAATGTCGATGATTATCAAGAGGATGGTAAAACTTACCGACAACCTAAGCGAGGATGAACTGACCAAGGGCCTTTTTGAGATCACCGATTTAGAAAGAGTTCCTGTTATTAACGATTTTGTCTTGGTCCAATTTTTGAATCTATAGACATATATTTTGATGCCTGTTCCAAATGAGACATTCTTATTATACTTTTCACACAGTAGTCTCTGAAGAGTATTATGCATTCGCTTCGTCCGTCCGTCCATCCGATGTCACGTTTTTTGCCCGCATGGTAAGTTAAAAACGGAAAATTATATTAGTTTAAAAATTTTAGGAAAAATCAAGCTCTAAAAGGGGACAAAGATTATTGATTTTGAAAAAATCTGAATAGAAATGGGGGATTAAGGGAGAAACATTAAAAAAATTCCTAACTCATAAACAAAAAATTATATCAACTTGAAATTTTTTGCAAACTTCAAGCTCTATAAGAGAAAGAACGTTTTTGATTGTGTAAAAATCTAATTAAAAATGTGGATTTTAGGGAAGGGGTTGAAATTAGAAAAAAATCCTAAATCAAATCGGAAAGCAATGTCAACATAAAATGTTTAATAAAAATCAAGCTCTATAAGAAGATAAAACCTGTTAATTTTAAATTTGTTTTAAATAAAATGGGGGTTAAGGGGGTTAAAATAAAAAAAATTGAATCAAACACCAAAAGGGGGTGGGTGGCTTAGTGGTAGAGTCTCTGCCTGCGGATCCAAGGGTCCCAGGTTCGCATCCCACCGTTGGCCGGGATTTTTTCATTTAATTATTTAAAATTAATTCTGATACCCCACTCGACCATTTACTGTTGGGTTCTAATTAACAGTGCTGTTCCTAAAGTGGCGATGGGAAACATTAACAAAGCCTACACAGAACGCAAGGCGAAATAACCTTAGCAGCTGAGGCCGATGACACACAAAAAAAACATCAAAACCTATATCAACATGAATATTTTAGTAAAAATCAGGTTCTATAAGGGAATAGAACCTATATTCTAAAAAAAATCTGAATAAAAATGGGGGGATGGGGGGACAAGGGGGGTTGAAATATTGAAAACATCCTAACTCAGTAACGAAAAATGATATTAACTTGAAAATTTTTAGCAAAAATTAAGCTATATAAGGGGAAAAATCACTTTAAATTTGCAAAAATTCTAATAAAAATGGGGGGTTTAAGTGGGTTCGAAATTAAAAAAAAATAATTTGAAATCGAAAAATAGTATCAACTTTAAATTTTTGCAAAAATCAAGATCTCTGAGAGGACAAAAGCAATGATTTTGAAAAATATGGGATAAAAAGGGTTGACATGTTGAAAAAATTCTAACTTCTAAAAAACGATATCAAATTGAAATCTTCAGGAAAAGTGGATGAAGCGTATTGATTCTGAAAAATATTTGTTTGCAGATGGGGATTAAGGGAGGATCTGTTTAACTATAGATCTGTTCAAAAATACATTGATAACTATCAGAGAATTAGTTGACCAGTGGACAGTTTAATAGTTGTACGCGACGAATAATTTGAAAATCAACTGTTCCACTTGTTCTCGGACGGTTTTCATCGAGTTTTAAAGAAACCCGAAAAAACCTTGTGAAGAGAATAATATAGAATGCCAAGCATTACATATTTTTATTCTAGTTTTTTATTTAAGTCGATTTTCGTTATAATTATAATGAGTTCTTGTTTACCATAAACTAGTTTTCTTCAATATTCTTTTCTTGGCAATAAATAAATACATGGTTAATCGTGGAACACGATTGTTCCACAATGAGACAAATGTAAGTTTTTTAATAAAAATCGTACTTTATTAGTTAGTGAAAAAATCATTTTGTTTATTGATGAATAGAGCAATTAGAGCTTTAAAAGTGATTTGAAAATAATTTAAAAAAATCGAATGTGATTTTTGTCTCTTACTTAGTGAAATATATTTAAGTAAAAACAAAAATTAATTTTGATAATATCTTGATATTTTGTAATAAAATTCTTCCTTTAATTACGAAAAATATTGCTTACAGTTTTTGAAACAAATAGGTCTATTTATTTACAATTTACATGTAATTTTCAAGATCAAGATTTAGATCATTGAAATACATTATGTTGACAAACACATCACGCTTTTCACAATATATTTTTACAATAACGAGTTTTGTAAGAAAGTTTGTTGATAAAAAAATAAAACATGATATATAAACACTAGAGGTTTCAGTAGAGAACAACAGTCTCAAATCGTCTCTCAATCACAGTTTTTGCTAAAAATTAAATATTAATATAATTTCTCGCCAAACCTTAAAGTTAAGTTTTTGATTAAATTTTTTATTAAAATATTTTATACTGACTATGTAAATCTTTAGATGAAGCTCTTTATATCTGCATTGGCAATAATTGCTACGTCTCAAGCACTTACTGATAAGGACGAGTGGATCAATTTCAAAGTAAGTATATTTACAATGATACTTGATTTAGTGATACTTGATAAATATTGTTACGCAGCACCCTGCAGTAGCCTGCGGCTATCATAGGGAACGTACAGATAGAAAAAGAAGTGGAATGTTACTCATCACTCTACAGTGTGCTGCGGTCGTCATAAGTAAAAGTACAAGTAAAAGAAGAGAATATTCCAGAAATGTCCAGAAATGTCATTACCCGTCAAGAACATTCTAGATGACAGGTCGAGAAGGTTCGAGAAGATCAGCCAATAACCAATATATTGTATTTAATATATTATATAATTTATTTTATTTATTATTCTAAATATTTTGTTGTTGGTGTGCCACTGTTATTATTTTTTTTATAGTTATATTCTTTTAATCTATTTTATCAAGTATTTATTTTTCAAAATTACTTACCTGTGAAATATTGCATCAAACACTCACTTAACTATGCCCCGCTCAATTATAAAATTTATTTATTTTTTTTTTTTTTTAGAACACTAGACTCAATCATCAGGAGTGGATTCAGTTTGACTCACCCTGTATAACTTTTTTTTAAACTCATGTTAAATGAACATCAATCTCGCAAATTATAACAATTTTTATTAATACAATTACTAATGTCGTTTTAACATACAAATTCTTTCACAAAATAAGAAACAACTTACCTAAATTTAAAAAAAAATTGCAGATTGCAACTTTTAACTTTAATAGTTTTTACCAAAACTTATTTTATTTTTAATTTGTTTTAACCTTTTCAGGCAGAATTAAGTAAATTTATTATTTCATATGGTAACCCAAACGCAATTTGGTTTTATTAAAATCTGCAGATTTCTTTCTTCTATTAAAAACAGTAAAAACTCCTTTAAATCTAAGTCAACTTAATATGTAGAAAAGAAAGCAATTTTATTTTTTTTAGGAAACCAATATCAACAGTAGAATTAAAAAATTGTTATTAATGTTTATCGAACTTCCTAACTGTGATATCAATAAATCAAAGTACATAAATCTGTCATAAATCAAACAACACTTACAATGTCTTATGCTTTGTAAAGGATCTCTTCTAATGGATCCCTTTATAACCAGAACGGCTATTCAAAAATATTAGTCCAATGAATGTCCTGTGTATGTCCTTGGACGGCGAATACCACACCATCCAAAGGTGTATTTCGTTGGAGTTCAGTATGAAAAAAATATTACCTATGATCCATTTACAAACTATACAATTGATTTTGGGTCATTTATGAGATTGACGTTCACTTGTAGTTTATTAGTTCAAAACTCTTGTATTTTTTATTTCTTAATTTCTCAACATCTTTCAAAATTTTTTTGAGAAGCCTTTCTTTTTTTCTACCAAAATTCCTCTGTCATCCCCTGACAACCCTAAGCTGGGTCTTTTATACATTTATTGTGCCAAATCACAATTGATAAAATGAAATGACAATACACAGGCACAGTTTATAGCTAAAGAACCAGTTCGCTCACTATGCGTCGGCACTTTTGATCTCAATGTTCCAGTTTATACATTGCGCAACTCGGATTTGTATCCCTGGCGCATACAGAATCAAATCATAATAGCCCAAGAGCCCACTGTAAATTTTTACCGCCATCTAATAATGAATTACAATATACCCCAAAATCTTGTAAAAACATTGTACTTTACCGAATGGCACCTGTGACAATCCCAATCCTAAGCAAAGAACTTAAAAAAAATATTTTATATTAAAAAAATCACATAAGGCATGACAGCGCTAATTTTGTTTGCCCTTAAAGTTATCCATATAATAACATATTCAAATATATCTTGATATATATCGTTAACGGAAAACATTTTCTTCCTCTTAACATCGCACAAAAACATCTACACACGATTAGTAGGTAAAAATTTATTTGTATGCCTATTGTAGTGATTCATTTTTACAGGTTGTCATAGAAACTACTATGCTTATGGTTTAAAAGGATTGTCTAACAAGAGTTCATAATTATTATTGATATCTCTGCCAAAGTTAGGTAAAAATATTAACAATTCAGATTTAAAAGCTAGGTTCACAATGAATTAGGATTGTAATTTTCAGAGAAAACACAATTATTGCTGTCATGTCTTATGTAATTTATTGAATATAAAATAATTTTTTTTAACCACTTTGCTCTGGATTACAGATTGGCACAGGTGCAATTTGGTAAAGTACAATGTTGTTACATGTCTTTGGAGCATATTTCATTTTATTATCAGATGGCGATCGTAATTTGCAGTGTGTTCTCGTATTATTACCAATTAAGCATTCCAACGATCTGTCAAACAATAGCTGTCAGTGAGAAGGTCTGGTATATCTAAGGGGGTAGAGACATAGTCTTGCATCTTGAAAGTTTTTTTTTATTCGAAATAATAGTCACAAAACCTGCCAATTTATGAAAAATGTATCTTATTTTTATTGTGTTTGACATAAAATATTTAAATGTAATCCATTATTCATGATTTTTACGTATTGTAAACAGAATACATCGTATGTCTCAACCCTTGGATATATCAAATCTTCCCACTGGCAGTTCATTTGTTTAGAATGTCTAATACAATATATGATATGACCATAGACATCATATCTTTGGATATGACAACCGCCTATAATCAAACAGCAGTCTTCTGCGCATCCTGAAATTGTATCCCTGGAGTGGATGTTATTTTGGAACATCCAATTGGTCCGAGTGAGCGAACTGATTCTTTTAAGCTATAAACTGTGACACAGGTTAGTACTTACAATAATTAATTGATTTAATTTAACTTTTTTATTTTCGAGTTTCTTTTTAAACAAGTTTTAAACAAATTTAGAAATGTTAATGATTTTCAGTTTGATACTATACTATTTATGATAGTAGTTACATAGTATAATAAGTTGAGGACCTGACGTCAGAGAGTCAGTTTTATGATATACGTTATACGTGAATGTTATCAGTTGTAAAGTTATTGTCAAAGTTGAATTATAGTTATTGTAAAGTTCAGTTGAAATTAATTGTGATACCAAAAACCAGCGTAACAATATGTTTAACATACCCTTTCGTAAAAATACCTTTATGTGCATTTTAAATAAATTTATAGCATCGTATGCTTCCATGGTGGCATCAACAACAGCTGTTTAGACTGTGATACTATTAAAAGAAATTAAAAGAGGTTAACTGCTGTGTGCAAGCAGCTTAAATCAGTTGTTATCATTTTTCCTAAATAAAATATTGGAGAATACTACCTTGCTAAGAATATAACCAATGTATTTACTAACTTGCCTTGACGAGGAAATGAATAAAAATGTTGAAAACTTTAAATTTTAGACAAACAAAAAAAATAAATAAAATAACTTATTAATAATGATGATTTAGCAAATATTTCATTATTAAAAAAACGATAGCAACCATTATTAGAGGATGTCTTCTACTTAATAATAAACAATGAAGATGGTTTGACAACGAAAACGCTTTGCTATTTTAATAAAAAACCTCGAACGCAATACAAGTTTTCTTTTCTTATTTTATGCAGCTCGCAGTGCTATTTTGGGAGCCGCTATCATTTTTTGAATTAATTGGTTAGATTTAATCACTAGATCCATGGATCTACAGGGTCAGTCTATATCCAGTATAATTCCAATTAAAAACGCTATTACTAAACTATTTGAGATTTTATTTCCTCTAACTAAATATTTATTAGAAAAAGTATTGGCTTTGTGTAAACGTTTAAGTGGAATATATGGCGTAACTGTTTGTCTCAATTTTATAGACAAAACATGGAAAAATCTACAAAAGTCCTGCAGAAGAAATTCAACGCTATTCAATTTTCCAGTCCAACTTACGCAGAATTGAAACTCATAATGCAAAAGAGGAACAGGGAATTTCTTCTTTTAAAATGGGCGTTACAAAATTTGCAGATCTCGCTCCTCATGAATTCAAAGATATGATGAAGTTATCGAAACAACAAAAAAAAATATGGAAACAATAAAAACCTCGTAGAAGATCTTCCAGATGAAGTAGATTGGAGCAAGAAAGGAGCAGTGACTGAAATTAAAGATCAAGGTCAATGTGGATCCTGTTGGTCTTTTAGTGCGGTAAGTATTTTGCCTTTCCAATAAAATCGATGAAAATTATTTTGGTTTCGTATCATAATTTTAGGGCCGATCTTTTCACCTCTGAGTAAAGTTACATGTAGGTTTACTTGACAGATTAACTTACATAGCCCTGTAGTTTAATCAGCAAGTAGTTACTTTTAACTTTACTCAGAGGTGAAAATACTGGCCCTTGATAAATTTATAGGTGAATTATTTTATAATAGACTGGTACAATGGAAGGAGCAAACTTTATCAAAACTGGTAAACTAATTTCCCTAAGTGAACAGAATTTGGTAGACTGTGATTCTGACTGCTATGGTTGTGGGGGGGATACATGATTAATGCACTAGAATATGTACAGAAAAATGGGATTATGCCTGAAGATAAATATCCATATGAAGCAGAAGATGACAAATGCCGTTTTAATTCCTCTGAGGTTGCTGTTAAAATTTCTTCTTTTACTCAAATAATTTCTGGCGATGAAAATGATCTTCAACAGAAAGTTGCTTTGGTTGGGCCTGTTTCGGTTGCTATTTATGCTTCTTTTAATTTGCAGTTGTACTCAGCAGGTATGTACACATATTTTATTAAACTTGGTTTTAATGCTGAGCTAACTAAATTTAGTGCATTTTTCTTGTAAAAGTATATATAAAATTATAGGATCAAATACTTTCTAAATGTTTTTTAAATCAGGTAATTTGGATGATAATGCTTGTGAAAATTCAGAAGAATGGTTGGATCACGATGTTTTGGCTGTTGGATACGGAACTAAAAATGGTCAAGATTATTGGATTGTCAAAAATTCATGGGGAGAAGTTTGGGGGATGGAAGGATACGTCTGGATGTCCAGGAACAAAAACAATCAATGTGGAATTGCTACTGATGCCGTAGTAGCCATTGTCTAAAATTGTGTTATCTTTATTACTCTATTTTACAGTTTGTTTTAATTGTTAGATTATGTATATCTACTTTTGTTTTATTAAATTTTAAATTGAAAATTTAGAACAGTTTTATTAATAAAGAAATTACCAATCAACATTATTGATTTTTAAAAGAATCATAAATGCTCTTTATTATGAAGAGTTTGTATTGTAATGTGTATGAGAACATAGGAGCAGTTTCTAGTCAAAGTTTTTCCAAAAAAATAGAAATTCGCTTAAAATGTAATAAATAAATGAAGGAATTGCTTTTTTTAGTGAAGCTATTGCTTTTATATTTGTATCTGCACAAAAATATTGCATATCTCAATTACATACTCCTATATTCCATGCGTATGCTATATCTGCCATATTATATGACAGGAAGATTGCAGGAATATTCATGGTCACCATGAAACATGTGTCCACGATGTTTTTATCTGTCAAAATATATGTATGGCATATTCTCTGGATTTACTGAGGATATCTATAGGTGTCTATATTCATGGTATTTTGAATATTTATGGCATATTAATTTTTTTTTTGTATGTAGTACCGTAGTTTAGAAAATAAAACTCATACTTAAATACAAATTTGTAATACAAAATAAGTTTTATTTGAAAAAATAAAGCAAATATTCTGAAAATAAAAAAATTATATACAGGAAAACTATAAATTTAAATTTATTTGCTGAGATTCTTCACGTACTTTTCTCCTAAAAAATGAGATATTTATAAATTATTTAAATTTACATTTTGAATCTTTTAATAATAAAAGTGTTAGAATTGTGATGAACATATCAGTATAATAGAAATATTTCAAAACTTGAGACAAACTTTACGTTAGTACTTACTTCAATAGCATCTTTGGGTCACATTATAGTAATGGCTTCCTCTACATTTTACTTTGCCATTTGTGTACTGTAGGTTTTCCTAAACATCTCTAAAAATAGAATTAAATAGTACCTTGTCTGCAATTTTATTACGAATAGCCCATGTTTTGATTTCCTATAAACTGTGCCTCAGTGCGAAGTCATGGTAGGGGAAGCAAAAGCGATACTAGCGCTAGCTGCGGATAATTCGTGCATTTTAGGGCGATATTTTGTAATTATAGCACATCAAACACATGTAACTTAACTAAGTACACTCGGTATTTAGTTTTTTAAAAAGATTTATTTAATTTTAAGTACAACTTTTCATATCAAGAACAGATTCTAAACTGAATTATAATGAAAGGAAATACCCTACAACCGGTAGCATTACACCTAAGGTGAAATGACACAACTTATCTAATATAACAGTCAGCAGTTCCAAGGTTCATCCACGAGGTTGCCGACTCAGGGTTATTGACTCTATAACTCTCCCCTTGTTAAAATGAGGCTTCTTGCGGAAGTCGAATATGTCCTTCTTCAGGGGTTGGTTCTGGTGGAGATTTTTCCTTCTCCTTCTTAGGCATCTTCTTGTGGATAATAAAAATAATTGTTACTGCTACTCCAACGTAAAGAATAATTGTCCATGCACTAGGAATATGATACTTAAAATTTTCCTTTATTATAGGTATTGGTCCATTTGAACTCATTTCTTTTAGTTTTAAACTTTTTAAATTTAATTTCATTGGCAACAGATTTATTTTTTCAAAATACAATTTTGGTTTATTTATTATAATTGGTTGTCCAAATGATTTTTCTTGAAAGGTTAATTCGTGATTTTTAAATATTATTTTACATGGTAAATTATTAATTAAAAATATTTTTCTTGAGGAAATATTGCCAAAAATTGATTTGTTTCTGGTATAATTTCTATATCTATGATTTTTAGAAATATCTACCTTAACATATTGCCATTGGCTAGAATTTCCTTTTAGTAAAATTTCTTTTTCGCATAATTGTTCATTATTATTTTGTAAATGGCTAGGACATTGGAATTTTTTACCGCGTGTGCAAATATCGTTTAGAGGCTTTATATGAATTCCGGATTTTAATATATATTTTGTGTTTGGCATTATTATAACAAATTCTGATTCAAACTTGGTGGGAATTGGCAGTAAATAATATAGTTCGAATTCTGTTTCAAAATCAATAGGAATTGATAGAAAATATTGTATTTGATTTTTTTCTAATTTACAGTTAACCTCATATTTTACTTCTAATGGTAGCTGAAATTGATAATGTGAAGAAATCTTTTTTAATTCTAAAAATAGCTCATGGGATTTTATGATAGTAGGGTGAGGGTTTTCAGTTTACAAAATGTTATGGAATTTTCTACATTTTCCATTATGTCCAGGATTAAATTATAAATTATCAATAATTCGTTAAATAAGTCTTTTAGGTAAATTACATTTTCAAATTTTGCTTGAAAATCTACAATGTCTTTAATTTCTAGTATTTTAGATTTAAGATTAATTTCATTTTTTTGGATATCTTGAATTGTTTGATTAAAATTATTTATTATCTTGCTACTAACAGAATATTAAATTTTTAATTGATTCTGTAAATTAGCTTGATTTTCTTTTAAATGTTCTAAAATTGAATTTATTCTTTCTCCATCTTGGGAGTCTAAATTTTTGGTAATGGCTTTAAAAACTGATCCAAATCCATTTATTAAACCTCTTTTATTTTTTCCTAAAAGTGAGTGAATATTAAGATTGTTAAATTTTTCTTCTATATTAGTTTTAAGAAACGAAGTTCTCAGTTATTTTTAAGATAGTTAAACTGTATGTTTAAACTATTTTATTCCTGCAATAGTGGGTTTAAATCGTAAAAATGCACGAATGTGTGCCTATATTTTTGAAGTTTGGCAGGACCTAGATTAATTGGTAGGATACCTAAATTGTGGGTGATGTCTTTTATGTCTACTGATGCGTATCCGATTGTGACGCACCTGAAATAAAAGTATAAGGTTTTCTTTTAGGATGTTTAATATTTGATAAATGAATATCTTCGGCAGTATTTTTATGTCTAGTGATAATTTTAGCAGTATTTCTTTCCAGATTTGTATGTTTTACTTTGTTTTTATCTGTTACGAACAAATACTTTAGAAGGAATTTCATCGGTTTACTTTTTTCGCTTCTCATTAGCTTTGGTAATAACTTTTTCTTTGGTTTCTTATATATTTTTATTTAATTGTGAATATAATATTTTAATTTTTTCTTTGTGATCAGAAATATAATTATTTATTAATTGTTGCTCTATATCTAAATCGAAAACGGAATAATTTTCTAAATGACCTGTAGTAATTTCATAAGGTTTTAATTTTGTTACTTAGTGAATGCTATTATTATACGCTAAAAGTGCGTAATTAACTTTTTGTTGTATAGGTTCAGTTTTATATTCGTTTTTGTTATTTAGTAATCTAATATGTTCAATAATAGAAGAATGGAATCTTTCAGCGATGCCGTTGGATTCTGGATGCTGTGAGCTAATGAAATGAATTTTTACTTTGTGAAGATTTAATAGATCTTTTACAAGTGAATTTTTTAATTCTGTACCGTTATCAGAAATTATTTGTGCTGGTATACAGTGATGAGTAAAATATGTAATTAGGCATTTGACTACTTCGATTCCTTGTGCGGAATTAATTTTGTATAATTGACCATACTTTGAAAATGAGTCTATTATAGTTAAAAATTTATTATTTTCTAATGTTATTGTATCTAAATGTAATATTTGGAAAGGTTTAATCGCTGTAGAAGTAATATTATAAATAGGTTTAATAGGTTTTCTATCGTATTTTGTTAATTAACATATTTCACAGCTGTTAATGTAGGTTTGAATTGATGCTCTTTGATTAGGCCAATAATATAATGTTTTAGTTCTATTTTCTGTTTCATCTATACCTCTATGATTTTTTTTTCCTTCGTGATAATTTTTTATTACATCTTCAACTTCATTTAATGGGACATCAATAAATTTTTTGGAACATTTAATAAACGAAATTTGGGAATTTTGAAAAATTATTGTACAACAACGCTAAATTTTTCATATAGGGGATCTTCAAAATAGATATGATATTTTACTTTTGGTACTACGTATTCTTTTACAAATTTGATAACATCGTTTTCAAAATTATTTTTTGAGAATTGTACAAGAATTGGTTGTTTGTTTTCATAGGGTTTTATAATAGTAGGAGTGATAGGAGCAAAATTGACTTCGGATATTATTATTTGATTTTTTCCGACATTAACCGCGCAATCCGCGATAGGTATGCCTGGTATTAGGTTCTCTACATTAGTGTGAATAGTATAATTTTTATCTTCGATGTCATTATTTATATCATCAGGTTCTAAGACTACGAGAGATTCTGTTTCATTATTTAATTTAGGACATTGAAGATTGTTATTAAAGTTTTCCATATATTCGAAAATTTCTGTAGAAGTACTAGGTTTTGAATTAGTTATTGTTTCGTTTACATTATGTTCTATTCTAGATAAAGTATCACTATTTGTATTTAAGTTTGGGTATGCTGTTTGTTCGTATTCAGCGAACGTTTCAGCTTTTGAAATATCGAATTTAAATTTGTCTTTGTAAATTTTATTTCGATTTGGGTACGTTGGTTGTTCGTATTCATCGAACGTCTCAACTTTTGAATTATCAAATTTTAAATTGTCTAAAAATAATAAAGTCTGGGTATGTTGTTTGTCCGTATTCAGCGAACGTTGCAACTTCTATACTTGGACTTAGGTCAACTTTAAAATAGGATTCAAATGAATTTAAGATGGTACATATAGCTGTACTATCTTCTACTTTTGTTAAACATTCAGGAATTTCTAATTTTCCAACCTTTGTATACGGTATTATTACCTCACCGTTTTTGACATTACTTATATTTAATTTAATAATTTGTTCTGTTCGTGGTGGCACTACTATACAATTCGTGCACTCACTATTTATCTTAAAATAATTTATTTTGATTTGACTATAAGGGGTAATTAATAAGTCGTTTATCAGGTCAATTTTTGCATTTAATGTTTTGAGATTATCTAACCCTAATAAACAATCAAAGTGATTA